CCGGGGGGGGGGGGACCTACTTGATAATTAGAAGATGTATAGAACTTGCATTAATTTGAATTGGGTTTCTTGTCTGGTTAGTAACGATTGTTTCACTATATGATGGGAGGGTATAATTATACTCTGAAGACACGCACGGGCACAACTAAATTAAAAAAGAAAATGCCGCACAGACCGATGTTCATACCATATTATCCCACTGAAACTTGAACGTGCTTTATTTACGTTGTGTTCTAATTAAAGACGAGTTGAATGTCTCCTTTATTTGGGCGTAGAAGGATAAAACCATACATATCGAAATTGAAAAGTTTGTAAGAATCAAGAAGGAAGATCCTCCTGCTGCGAAGGATATTTGATATTCTGATGATATCTCACCCTCTTTTTTGATTTGCAGTGCAATGATTATAGCATAACGGAAAGCAGCAGTTGCAAGGCATGCACATCACAAAATCCACAGGCAACAGGGAATCTCAATCTTCACTCACACACCGTGTAATGTTTGTACTGCTGCGCTATCTCAGTGTGCCTTAATAAGCCGCCTAGCTAGTACGACGTGACAAACACGTTCCTCCCGCGCTACATGTCAAAATTAATTAAAAATTGCGAAACCAAAACGACGGCCGAATAAGGTCACACTAGCTACCTTCGATCTCTATCTATGTTCCAATCTGGCTATACAGTAACAGGACCACAAACTCCACACTCATCTTCATCATCCCCAGCCCATTCCTCTCATCTTTATTTTCGAATGAGTTATACTAGCGATTAAACAAAACACAACCCAACTAATTAATAGTGCGCGTGTGCTTCTCTCTTTATTTAAAATTATGGATATCAAGCTGTGTGTTTATTGAAGCTATAGAAAGCAGTACATGTGGAAATAATAATATTGGAATTTTTACTCCGGGGCCTATATTTGTTGTACTTGTGAAAGTGGAGTGGATTTTGTTCCAAGATTGGAAGACTCTTCTCACATGGGGGGTTTTTCTCACCCTCTCTCAAACACGTGCCCGTAACTTACACGGCATGGTGCGTGTCGCTGCCCCCTCCCACGCCCAACAATTCAACTAAACCTTCGCCTTCTCCCTCTCCCTCTCCTTCTTCCTACACCCCACCTCTTTCACTACTACTCCATTTTCGCTTAATTAATCTTCTTCCTATTTTGTTCCTTTGTACGTTATATTTTTTTTTAATTAAAAAAAAAAATAAGATAAGAAGAAGATGACACCATCATACAGTCACTGACTTCGGTGTACTCTCTCTCTAAAAAGCGAACTTAAAAGAAAGAAACGGACACGGAATTTAGGGGAACGCTCAGAGCGAAAAATGATAGAGAGAGAGAGAGAAGTCTGTAATGGAAGCGTTTGTTCTTCCCCAAAGGAATTTACAGAATTCGGCAACTAAAAGCTAGCTTTAAGCCGCTTCTCCGTTTGACCTGTTCAGATAACAAACGAAGCTGAATTCATGTTTACCTTCACCACACCCAAATATAAAAGCTATACAGTGTACGCCAGATAAAAGAGTCTCAGCTGGCGTAAAAGATAGGATAATTAATTCGAATCAAAGACCTAGCCTAAAATTGAATAAATAAACGGAACCAAAATGGAATGTAAATGTAAAATGTTCAAATCCATCTCATCGGAGTCTTGCTTCTTCGGTGGCGAGATCGACGCACACGTTCATGGCTTCAGCTGAACCCACTCGTAGCGTCCTTCCAACGGCACGTCCTTAACGATATCATAATTGTACCTGCAAAGGAAAATTTTAAAAGGAATGATGGAGCTGCTATATGATACACAATTATGATGTCAAAATAAAAATAAAATACAGCGAAAGAAAAAAGAGTGTGCGAGAAGGAACAAAATTATGCTGGTTTAACTCACTTGTCTTGAAATTGTTTCTGAATGTCTTTCTCGGCGGCAGCGAAGAATTCTTCGAGTTCCAACTCGGTAGGCATTTTTTGCGCCGCGGATAAGGAATGACGAGAATCGATCTCTACCGACTCCAGCTCCTGCGAATTTTCTGGAAGCTTGCTGGAACTGTTCATCTCTAATTTCCTGCGCAACACCACCAATGGCGGACACAAAAACTATCACGATTCAGAATTATAGATATAGATATAGAATGTGCTGGTATATATAAATATATATACGCGCAAGAGAGAAGGAGTTGAAGTTTTTAAATGAAGAAATTATCACAGTTGAGACACCATGCTTTTCCCAAACTCAAAGGAGTTGAATCATTAAAAAAAATAAAATAAAATTGAAAAGAGAATGGAACTAGCTAGCTCAAAGCAATTTCAAATTGAAATTAAACGAATAATAGAAATAGAAATAGAAATAAATGAATGAATCCGCTCCATGGTTCAGAAACCTCTCAATTTGTTCAGCAGCACCATTGCACGTCGACGTTTCAACTTGCGCGCTCTCCACCTGTAAAGAAACGTTGAAGGAAGGCGGTGCATTAATTTAGGCAAAGGAAAATGAATGAGCGAAAGGAAAAGAAGAGGTAAATGAATTAAAGAGTAATCTATGAGGCAATAAATTGCGGAGTGCAGAGAATTTGAAAATGAAGATGTATTAAATTTAATATTTAATAAAATAAAGCATTGATTACTTCCAGATCTAAGAGCTTGATCTTCTCGGTGTCGAGGCCAATGGTGTCGCTGCTGGAGCAGCAAGACGCTTGAATTTCACTGGAGGTAGGGCTGAGGTTGCACTCGTCGGTGTCTGGAAGATTTTCAGTTCTGGAAGCTTTGGAGGATTTTCGGTCTTGGTCATCAGTGCTGGTGGTGGCGATGGTGGTGGCCTTTCTCTTAGGAGGTTGAGGTTCCATGGCTAATGCGGCTCGAGCTCTCGTCCTGACACCAACCTGAGCAGACATTGATGTGGGGTGTTTAAGTAGTAGGGGGTGTTGAGATCCTCATTCAGGTGTGGATGCCATGCCAAGATGGAGGTGTGGCGTGAGCGTGAGAGTAAGTTGGTGCGCGCGTGTAGTACGGAGACGACGAGAGATTGTGATAATGAGGAAAAGGGTTCAACGGTTGGGATTGGGTAGTTGCTTTTTCTTAGTGGTGCATCGTGGTGGTGGCCCAGTCCCTGTTAACAGTGACGGGGAATCTAGAAACGGGAAATTTGACGGCGCCGTTATATCCTGCGCCGAATGCACCACTGACACCTCATGCCTGCAAGGGAATTAAGGTCAGGACAATTTACGTCTGAGCTGGGATTACCACTGCTAACACAACAATCATGCGCTTCTCATGAAAACAATCATCATATATTTTTTGCATTGTGCTGCGTAATTCCGTTTCGTTTGCTAGTGAAACCGTCTCAAGCAAAATAATTGTGTTCCAAACCCAATTACTGATATAACCTTCCTCACAACACTCAAACGCCAAAATGCCATTCACTGCTCCCCACCATATCCTGTTTCAGTGTCAAGTACGCCACCATTTGCCGTTTTTCTTCCTTTAACATCTCTTTTTTATTCTTCACATTTTGTTTTTTAAACCCCTTTCTTAATCATGAACGACTACTATACTATAACAATTCCATGTACAAAAAAAAAACAAACAAAAAAACTCTAATACTTCAGTTAACACTATAAAATGGTTAAAAAATAGTATAATAGAATTTTTTTACCTATCAGTATATTCCATTTTTCAATATTGGATTTCTTTTAATCAATAGTATACTGGATTAATATTCTCTGTATGGTATGGGGTTAAGTTAGACAATTAATATATCTTACATTTAATTAACTATTTTTCTAAGACAGTAAGTTGTAGAAAAATTTATCCAGCGATATTTATTTTAATTCACATGTAATTCATTTTGGACTTTAAATCGCAATATCATGCCGACCAAAAAAATCATAATATTATTTAAATAAATTCTTACACTACTAATTAAGAAAATTAACAAAAATTAAATTTAGAGACCAACAACCACATATTGTAGCTTAATTAACATTTTATTTCACACACTCACATGAAAAAAATAAATAAATTATGTACTACTGTGTACTAATTACTACTTAAGACTTCGTGATGCATGAGTATTCACTATGTCCTGTGAAGTGTTATATATATAATTTATATTTTATATTAAATTTTAATAACTTAATTGTAAAATTAAAATATTTTAATTCATAAATTAAGTTTATAAATTTTTTAAAATTTTAAAAATACTTTATATTTTATCTCATTAATTTAAATTGATAGATAAATATAAAAATATTTTATACGCTAAATTGAAATAATGAGATGAAGTATCAATTAAATTTTAAAAAAAAATTCAGACTTAAATTATGTATTAAGAATTTTTAATTTAACGATTAATGGAAACCTTTGAGTTTATGACTGTTTTATTAATTATATGAAATTTTATTGTTTTGACATTAGTATTGTTGAGGACTGTGGGTTAAGGAGATATTGAAAATCAGTTAGTCTCTAAA